AATCTTTCAATTTTGCCTCCAGCTGGACTTGAACCATTGACCTTGACTGTGGAGGGTATGGGAGCTTAACCACTAAGCTATGAGACCCACACCCTGTATTTGAGTTTTGACAAAACTGTTAAAGAATAAATATATATATATATATATTTAATATTTAAGTATTAGTTATCAAATTTAACAGGTTATTAGATTTGACTTATAAAACAAACATGATGGCTTAATTTTTTATTAATTATTACAGATTATTAGTTTTGATAAGATCAGTTTTAAGAGATTAACTGTATTAAAATTGTCTTTTAACAAACTTATTCTATACTTAGCTATACTATTTTTAAACTAAATTATTTATTTAATAATATAAAATTTTATACTTTGTATACATTAATATCAAGGTTCAACTATTTAATATATTAGAAAACCTTTTTTAAACTTTTTTTATCTTAAACTTATCATTTCTATTAAACTTCTATTTAGAATATTATATTATTTTTTTTTTTACTTAGTATTTTTCAAATATTAGATCTTTAACTTAGAGCAACATAACAGGTTACATACTAATAATAAATAAAAAAATATATCTGTTTTTTAATAAATATTTTGTTTAGTAAGAACTTAATAGTAATAGACAATTGAAATAACTACACATATAAAAAAAATTTAATTTTTTATTTTTTGTAAAATGAGCTAACATATATTACTTTTAATGCATTTTATTTTGTAAAATAAAAATATATTATCATATATGTACAGTACATATGTATGCTTATATATTATTTTTTATTATACTATCCTATAAAATATGCTTGTATGTGCATTCCTAATACAACTTATATCATATTTTAGAAATTTTACCTGATATATTTTAAAATAAATAAAACTTTTCAATTATATATATATATATATATAGTCAAATCTCTCTATAATCATATCCCTCAGAATAAAGATTTATGTGTTTATAAAAATATTTTTACTAAAATGTACTTATAAAAAAGTTTTTTTAATATATTTATATATAATTGGTTTTTAAATAAATATGCTTATAAAGAGGTTTTTTATATAATGTGTTTATAATGAGTATGACTATAAAGAGGTCTAACTGTATATATATGAATTTTTTAGAATCTCTAATTTATTCTTATAGTTCTAATTGAATAGTTGTAAATATTATCTTTAATTAAACAATGTTAACTATGTCATCTTTTATCTACCAATCAAATTATAAGATCAGATATAATATAAAATTTTCAAATAAGATAACTGCATAATATTATTATGTGAAACCAAAAATAAAAAGTAGATTTCAAAGTGAAATTCATATTAACATCAATAATAACAAATAAACTTTATTTAAATTTCAACTTTTCCTTTACAGAAATTTTCATACAAATTTAATTTTTCAAAGAATTTCATTACATCATAAAACTTTACACAATCTTACTGATATATATGTACTTGGTCACATGTTGTAATAAAATTTTGAAATAATGCTGACCTTGTTATTTTGTTAACAAACCAGTCAAAAAATCACAAAATCACAAGAATAAATCATCTAATCAAATATATGTTGATTAAGTTTTTGATAATCTGTAATTATCATTTTATCTGTCTGATAAAAAATTCGATGAAAAAAAATGAAAATTACAAAATATTTAGCATTGAAAACTTTAAATTTACATTGAGTTACTAATTTTTGTGCCAAAACAAATATTTTTACTATTGTTTGTTATTGCATCTTTGATTTTACAGATGTATATACTCTTTTATTAGGTTTTTTTACTAAATTATGAATAAGTCACACAGACTAATTAATTCCAAGACTTTGCATACAGAGACATTCGTTCCTAATACCTACCTTTTAAAGTATTGTTCGGGATGCTACACAAGGTCACAATGAAGGATAACTCAATTATATGCTAAGAATAGCACACAACATTTTACTCTCTGTATAATCATACACTTTGTTTCACTCTGTTCTTGGTAAAAAAATTAAAGTTTTTAAAGTTTTCAAAAATTGTCAGTAGCTTAAAATTTTAGTTACAAAACCACTGTTTGTGTTCTAACAAAAAAATTTCTTGCAAAATTTTAGTATAATATTTTTATTAGACCTTTATACTGTTTTAATGACATTTTCATTATTTGATTAAAAAATCAGATTTTTTCTCATCCAATAGAAACTGTAAGGGAAAATTAGTAAACCCAAATTTTTTTCTCTAATTCACTGTAGATGCATCACATTATTAAAGATCATTATTCAAAAATACTCAGAAATTACTTTTCTGAAAAATAAAAAGTTCTGCCTACTCAAGTTAACTTTTTTAAAATTATTTTTGTTATGCAGTTAGTGGATTTAGTACTTTTATATTTGCAGGGTTGTAAAATTACTATGGTAAGTTTTTGTAAATTACCAAAAAAATAGTAACTTATCATAGTAAGTTACCATTATATAATAGCTTTGCATATTCATTTTTTGTTTTTCAACCTTGTTACAAAAACTTGCACTAATCAGATTAGTTGTGCTATATCATTTTCTTTTTTTGGAAATTAGAATCTGTATTCTTTTACTATCTAATAGACATGAAACAAACATGTTAAATACTGTATTTTACTGCATAAACTACTTGGGTCTGTTATATTTTACCAAAATATTTAATTAATAAAAAAAAAAGTTATTAGTAAAAAAATCATATAGGGTTTACTGTCATATGATGGCATATAAATAACAGATGATTTAATATGGTAACATTAAACTACTTTGTTATTACAATTGCAATGGACAATGCATCTTCTTCATCTACTAGCTGTATCAAGTCTAAAATAACTTGGTGCCCATTGCTTCCAAATATTCAATGCATACAAGTGCTACTTATCAATGTACTCTTAGTATTAAACTTATATACATTTGATGTGACATTTTCTGAAGATGGTACTCTTAGTAAAGGTTATGATATTTTGTTACAAGATCATACCAATAAGGGTCAGGTGAGATATGTTTGAATATATTTTGAGTGCAAATTATATGTAAAGTGAACTCTTATTATTTTCAAAATATTAAGTTACATGAAGAAAATGTAAAAACTATTATGCTTATAAATGAACATGCAAAATAATTATCTAATTCAATGTTTGCATACACAGAGTATCTTGGATGTTCTTTGCAGGTATATAAAATAAAAGTATTTATTTCAATGTATTTACTTTTATAGAAATTGTAAATATTAAATTAGGTTTTTTTAAGAATGGGTGCTGCAAAGGCAAATGTAATTAGAAAGGTTGTATTGTAGTCTCTTAAAACAAGCCACTTAACTTATGTAATATTGAATGCCACAGAAGTCATGATTCAGATTATGTTTGGACAAAACCACTTTGAATGGCCAATTCAATCAAAAAAACAATATCAAATCAAGCTACAAATGTAACTCCTTTATTATTGGCAACAGGTTATAGAGTAAACTTCTATTTTAAAAAAAAGTTAAATTAAATTGTTAATTTTTTTTTTTTTTTTTTTTTTTTTTTTTTTAGAACTAATGAATAGTGCTAAGATTTTAAGTACAACTGCCACCACACCAAAAAACCAAGTATGACTAACATCTATCTGGTTTGCTTCTAATCTTAAGGCAATTTAAAATATGCTCAAATATGATAAAAAATTATATTATTCAAGTTTATTAGAATATAAAAAAGTAAGAAACTACTTTTGTGAAGAGTTACTTTAGGACTGAATAAAATCTAAACTGTAAATTAGTAAAATTCAATAAACAGATCATGTTAGGATGAAATTTGCAAAGGCAGATTTTACCCATATCAACATAAAATACTAACATAAAGAAATTTTCTTAATGTAGTCTACATAGTGAATTTTACTAATTCACAACACAGGTTTTATCTTGTTATGTTATTTTTCCTTTATTTAATTCTAATTGCCAATAGGTTTGTACAATAATGGATACATATGAGTCTAAAGAAACTGCTATATTGAAGCAGTATGGTGTTAAAGATTCTCAAAACCCCAAAGAACAAGCAGTTCTTCTCAGTATCGCATCTACAATCATGCCAACACTGCTAACAAAGTATCTAAATTTTTTTAGCTATGGATTCTACTGGTCATCATAATAGTCTGAACTTTCCAAATACTGTCTTTATGATTAGATCAGATGAACCTTATAGTTGAATTATAGCAACATTTGTAGGTAACAAGAAGACGATACCTGTTGTTGATCTGATATTTGACTCAGTAGGTTTTTGGTAAGACTGTTCAAAGTTGAATAGTTGGTTAATGTCAGTCTCTTCTCAGCAAACTGTTTTTTCAAATTAAACAAATCAATCACAATGCAGCATAAAATCAATTAATCATATAATTAAAGTCAACCAATAAAACTAAATCAAATATTTTTAAGACATATATGTGATTGTTTAAATTTTTTCTTCTCCTTTACACCTGAGCCCAAAATATTGACATTAACCAACTATCAACTTTAAATAACTTTATTTTAAACTTTGTTAAATTTTATTTGACAATTTTCTAACATCAATTGGTTATAGCTAATTCAATATAGTATCAAAAATAATGCTCAGCTAAACCCTAAGTAGTTAGTAATAGATAAATAAAACCCTTATTTGACAGTGGCCAGAAAACATTTTTCTAATACACAAATAGTTTTGTATAACTGGCATGAGAGTGAGTTTTCTTGTTACTGTATAGCACAATTTTTAAATACTATTTATACTATTATGTGATATCAAATGCATGTGATCTGTGATTTTTTACTATTATGTAAAAATTGTCATATTGAGTACTATAAACAGTGCTATACAGTATTCGTATTAAGTTTCTTATTTTTAAAATATCACTACTTTTCTAGCTGATGCACTCAAGGAATAGTTCACCAAAAATCTAAATGACCAATAGATTAGAAATCAAACATTCTATCAATTTCAGTTTGTTAAACATTCTAAGAATTAAGAAGAATTTGATCAATAAAAGATTACTATTTTGGATGCTAAAAAGTTTCAATCTGCTATTGGAATTACAAACCTAACTATTGCAGAAACTGTTACATCTTATTTTCAAACATACTGGTTTGGCGATTGGATTGGCAAGTATAAAATAAAAATTTTTTTCACTATATAGTATATGAAACACAGATATAATTCACAAATTTATATAACACAAAAATTAAAAAAAAACAAAATTAATTTAATTAATATTAGATTAAGGTTAGGGGTTTAAGGTTTGGGTTATAGTATAGTTTATACTAAAATTTTATAAAGATTTTTTTTATTAGTGCCTTAAAGGTTTTTTATCAGTAAAATTTAAGTTACACATATACCTGTGTTTTATACACTATTGAATAAATATGTAGAAAAAATTGTCATAATAAAAATAAATAAAATTAAAAATTAAAATTTATATTAACTGACGATCACTTGGACCAAGTTGGCACTGAAAGTAGTTTGAAGACTCTGGCTCCAAAGTGGATAATATTCTTAGTTTTACATTAAGTAAACTTGCTGTCGACGAAGCTCAAGTATGTGATACACCAAGGAGCAGGTGAAACTTGAGTGGTTCTTGCCTTGGGTTAAGCTTTTTGTCTGGTGGACTTTCTTGCATATTTAGCATCCAAACTGAAAGGATATTCTGGAAGCAAGTAGAGACAAAATCAGTTCTCTGGTTAAGAATATTAAAAGCAGAAGAAAAAGAAGAACAACTAGAAAAACT